AGATCTGAATTTGGACAGAGTTCACAGCAAGGCTGACCACGAAGAGAACCTTCTGAAAAGCCTCCAGGAAGATGTTCAGAAAGCTCAGCAGCACCGTGCAGATAGCCAGAGAGTCCTGGACACTGTCACAAGGTACTGTTGGTTTTTCCCCTCCTGAAGATGAGGCCATTCGCAGTTTGTGGCTGCTCATCTGGAGGACTTCTCCCCTAGAGGATGAGGTTCCATTCTCCCCTTCAGAGGAGAAACTTATTGCCCTCTGGCAAAAATGGGGTGAAGAGGACGGAATTCTCCTGTTGGAGACAGATTTCTATGAGTTTTTTCGATGGGCAAAGGTCTTTGGGTTTTTTACGAATGTGCTATATGCCCTTGATGTGTTTGTCTGGGAGTGTATGGACTCCATTTTCCAATTCTTTTTGGGCCGTGGGTTCGGATGCCCCTCGATTTATCCAACCTTTTTGTTGCTCTTTCTAGTCTTGAAACGGAGAGCAGCTGTTTTTCCCTGGATTGCTAACTGCAAGGGCAAAGCCCCGTTCCCCCCAATTCTGGGGCAAGACCCTTTGGAGGGGGACGCTCTGCTGCTTTCCAGCCCCCCTGAACCACAGCAAGGGGCGAAGTTTCGCCCGCAGCTGAAGTTTTTTTTACTGCGTCTTCGGAGCATGCTCAGACGGAGCCGGTTTTTCCCCCCTCCCGTTGCTCTCAGGGGGGATGGGAGTGGGCGGCACCGCCCCGGCCAGCGCCGCGAGCACCGCCCCGGCCAGTGCCGCCAGCGCCGCCTCACCCCGCCCCGCGGGTGCGGGCAGTTCCCCGCGCGGCCCGTCCCGCGGCCGCCCCTGCCGGGGAGCCTGTGGGCGCTCCGGCCGGGGTTCCGCCGCTTCCCTGCCTGCATCTGAGGTCTCAGAGACACCGCTTCCCGCGGCTGCGCCGATGTTGCTGGGCAACAGCGATCCACCGCTCCCCCCGGCCGTCCCGCCGCCTTCTGCGACTGCCGTTCCGCCGCCGATGTCAGAGCCCGGCGCAGAAGATGCTGCCAGCCCCGTGCCGCCCCCGCCGCCCCCGCCGCCTCCCCAGGCGGCCCCGCTGCCCGCCCCGGCAGTTCTGCCGCCTGCGGGGACTCCGTCCTCCGTGTCTGCGTCAGAGGCTGCCCTGGAGCCGGCGGCAGCTGCAGCGGCGCCTCCTGCATCCAGGGTGACTTCCTCCCCGAGTTTTTCAGGTTGTCCCGGGGCTGCCTCTACGGGGGGAGCTGGGACAGGGGAAGAGGGCGTCAGCCTGTCCTTCGGTGGAGGAGGCATGGCCCGACAGCTGGCTGTGGGTGCGGCCCGGCTGCGTGTTTTCAACATCAGCATTTTTGGCGGGTTGGGGGGTGTTTGGTCCGGGGTTTCCCCCTGGGGGATGCGGATCTCTCTGCCGCCCCTCGCGTGCCCCAGCGGTGAGGGGGAGGTGGGTCCCGAAAGTTCTGCCCCTGGTCCCCAGCCCAGAGGGGGTGGAGGTGGTGCCGTGAGGCAGATGGGAGGAACACCTGGTGCATTTGCATTGCAGAGGCAGAGGGCACAGCAGGAAGCGAGCATCGCTTGTCTGCTGTGGGGAAAGGACATCCCCAGACCCAAGACGAAGTTTCTCGGGACAGCTTCTGTCTTCCCATTGCCGGCATGCCTCGGTGATTTTGGGGAAAGGAAGCGTTTGGTCACCCCTTCTGCCATTGTACTGGCAGCAGGGTGCGGGTCTGTGCCAATGCAGAGCCTGCCTCGGGGGCTGGGCCTGGGCTGTCTGCCTTGGTTGCTTGGGCCAGGGCCACCTCCCGGCCTCCTGTTGGGTTTGGGGGCTTTGCTTCCCCCTTCTGGTCCTGGGCCACCTTTCTGTGGGCCAGGTCTGGGGTTCCTGATCCTTCCACATGGGCCAGGGCCCCCAAGGGCCTCTCTCTGGCTCCTCTGCTGCTGCTGCTGCTCTTTCCGACAAAAAAAAAAAAAAAAAAAAAAAAAAAAATTTAAATAAAAAAGGGTGAAAGAGCTGGCAGCAGCTCAGAGGCAGGGATTGGCTTCAGCCCAAGTTGTGGCAAGACATTTCACAAATTTTCTCAAAATTCTTTGAAGACTGTCAATGGACTTTTGATAACTATTGATGGACTTTTCTGTAGCAAGCCTGTTTCAGGACCAAAAGAAACTTTCAGATATGGCAAAGAGGAACATCTTCAGACCATGGACTTTTCCTGAAACTCAGCTGCTTGGACTTGAATTTTCTTTGCATTGTTTTTGCATTTTCTTATATTATAGAATTGTTTTAGTAATATGATAGAATTTTATGTTCTACAGGTGAAGAAATTCCCAGTGCATTCCACAGGAGCACTTGAGTGGAGTTTGATTGGCAACAGATAACCTGTCAAGTGTTTGTCTTTTTCTTCAGCATGAGTACAGCAGAGAAAATTACAAACGCTTTTTCCTTTTAATTTAATTAAATAAAAAAAAGGTGACATGTCGCAGACATCTTTCATGAAAAATCCTTTCTTAGGATTTTTCCTTGTGAGAAGCTGCAGTTTTCAGCAACCAAAGTAAACAATGGTTATCTGCTGCTGTGGAATGCAACAGGTGATTGGTCTCCTGTGGGTGTTTGGATTTCTTGACCACTCATGGCAGAGCTGGCTCTTGCTCTGTCTGAGACACAGATCTTTGTTATTCATTCCTTTTCTATTCTTAGCTTAGCTAGCTGCTGAAGAAACCTTTCCGTTCTATTGCTTTTTAGTATAGTCTAATGTAACATATATCATAAAATAATAAATCAAGCCTTCTGATCATGGAGTCAACATTCTCGTCTCTTCTTCATCCTGAAAACCCTTGTGACCACAATCACATGCCACCAGAAGATCCACACTGAGGAATGGCCCTACCCCCCGTGCTTGGAATGCAGAGAGATTCAGCCTCCTCTTCCATCTGATCTACCACCAGTGTCCACGCTAGGGAATGATCCTACATATGCTTGGAATGCAGGGAGAGCTTCAGGTGAGGCACCTGCCTGGTCTGCCACCAGAGCATCCACACTGGGGAACAGCCCTACATGTGCAGGGAATGTGGAAAGAGGTTTAGTGACTGTTCCAACCTGATCTGCCACCAGAACATCCACACCAGGAGGAGGGTCTATGAGTGTCCCAAGTGTGGGAGGAGCTTCTCCTGCAGCTCTGCCTTGACCCAACACCAACAGTCCCACAGGTAAGGGAAGTCCTGTGAGTGCCCTGCCTGCAGGAAGAGCTTTGTTCACTGCTCCAAGTTCACCCATTAGAGGACCCACATTGTGTTATCTATGGTGACCATGTTGGGACTTGAATCAACCTGGTGATTCAAGTTGGTCACAGACATGGTAATCCAGCACTGGCAGAGACAAAGATTTTGGAGACAATTTTGTGGGAACCCCTCCAAAAAAGGCTCTTTCACCCACCCAACCCTATCCGACCCAACCCAAACCCACAGATACTCAAACAGTGCTGACATGTCAATTCTTTCATTTTGGCCTTGATTTTCTTGTGATCTATCCTTTAAAAACACCCAAAAATGGGTAAAAATAAAGAACCTTGTCAGAGATGTGTAAAACCCCACCATTTCACAGGGACTTGGGGGGGAATTTGTAGTCTGGGGGATATTCAGGAGGATTTGGGGTTTTTGAGGGAATTTGGAGGAGTTTCCTCCATTACTTTGCACCCCAAAAGGTGAGGGGTTCTATCCATCACCTCAAAACCACTCAATGCCACTGAAAGTGTCTCCATCCCGGCCCAAAATGGCTTGATCCCACCCCAAAATGACTCAAAACCACCCCAAAAGTATTCAATTCCACAGCATTCCAAACCCTGGAAGGGAAGGAAGGGGATGGGGAGGGGTGGGATGTGAATCGAGAGGGGTGGGATATGGACTGGGGCAGATGAAATAGGGATTGGGAGGGGTGAGAGGGGATTTGGGAGAAGTGGCATGTGAAGTGGGAGGGGTTGGATGGGGTCTGAAATGAGACAGCTGAAGGTTGGCAATGATGAGGCCCAGGGGGACCCCGTTCCTGAAGGGGTTGCAGGGTATCCCCCAGTTCTGCAGGGATTTGGCTAATGCCTCACCAGTTGTCAGGCAGACCCACAGTGCCCAACATTCCCCGCGTGGACCCCACCTGAACCCCCCCTCACCTTCAGCGAGGAGGGGGAAGATGGAGGGCATCCAGCTGGGCCCCCCCGCGCTGTCCTGGCGGGAGCGGCTGCAGTGGGGCTGAGTGTGGACAGGAGAAGCCAAGAGCCCAGCGCTGCCCCAGCCCGACCTGCCCCAGCTCCATCCCTGCCCCTCCTCCAGGATGCTGTGGGTTTGGGAGGCACAGGAGACCAAGGGTGGGTGCTGGGCCTGGGGAGAAGAGGAGAAGGGATAGAGGAGAAGGAGAAGGAGGGATAGAGGAGGAGAAGATTACTTCTAAGGATAGAGGAGGAGAAGATTACCTGGCTAAAGCACACCAAGAAAAAGGAAATAAAAATCCAAAATCAATCAATCCAAATGGAAATAAACCCAAAACAATTTATGTAGCTCAGGAGGTTCTGGGGGAGGAAGGGGTGAGGGAAAAAAACCAGAAGAGGGTAAGGATGAAAAGGAATATGGAAGACCCCACTGTTGAGTCACAAGGGTCAGAGTTGACACCTGTGAAGAACTGAGCCTGGATTTCAACAGTTCAGTCTTAAAGGCCCAATAGCACTTAACTTAAACTTAACAACACTTAACTGAAACTCTAACTTCACATAGAATTTATTACACCACAACAGTAACATACCCACAGGCCCAAATCTTCCCACCAGGTGCAGGGCAGAACCTTGAGGAGGAATGGGGGGCTCAGCCCAGGACCATTTGGGGGTGCCCCAAGTGCAGCAAACAGGAGAGTTCCCAGCTCACAGAGGCCCCAGCACAGGGAGGTCGCTGTCGCAGCTGCTGCAGCCCAGGAGAGTTCCAAGGGTGTAACGTGGAGTCGGTGGTCAGAGACAGAGACACACTTCAGAGTTACAAGTGGCAATAATAGAGAGAGCTTTATTGTCTGAACCCAGCTTTATACAGGGGGTTTGAAAATGCCCCAGTCTAAACCGCTCATTGGTCTGATCTTACCACCTCTCAGTTCTCTGAGCAGTGAGATGTCTGCAGCTTAGGGTGCAGGTGTGATTGGGTGAAATTGCCCAACTTGTTACAGTACAAGCCAGCTTGTACTGTAACTCAAGGGTCTCACTCACTCTGGGCTGCTGTTTATAGGGCCCAAGGGATGGGCTTTATTCACAGACATTGTCCATCCTGGCCCAAGCTCAGGCTGGTGACTTTCTGGGAAAGGTTGAGAACTAAAATATGATCCCATTTGGGATGTTATTCAGGCAAAAAAAAAGTTTCCAAGGCTGTTGGAGCTTGTTGGACAGCACCAGTCCCTGGAACAGACAATGCTGGTGATAAACTTAAGAGGAGTTAAGCCCAGGGGCTGCTTGTCAAGGCCAAGGCCTAAACAAGTATTTCTCAGATCATAGTGTTGCCTGATAGGAGGGGGGGGCTGGGTAGAGATTTTCCCAGGTGTGTCCACTGATGTTTCATGAGATCTGAGATGCTCTGAACCCTCTTCCGACATTCCTCACACTTGTAAGGCTATTCTCCATGTGCCCGTGCTGGTGAGTGATGAATGGAGATGGAAGAAGAGAATTTCCAGAGCCTGGAGGTGGGTGAGATGTAGACAAGGATCAGCATGGGATGATGCAGAGTGGCTTTCCAACGGAGTGCCCAAGCTGTACCTGTCCAGCTCCACTCTGGAATGCCGTTCTGGAAGTGGCAGTTGGCCTTTCCCGTCCGCTGGAACTCCCCTCTGTGGGCAGGGACACAGGTCATGGTGTGCCCCCCGCCACAGCGACTCCCAGCACCCCACAGCCGGCTGGGAGCTCAGGAGGCCATGCCGGACCCCCCTTTCCCACTCCCCTCTGCCCCACCGGCTTCTGGGTGAGGGGAACCCTCCAAGAGCCACCCAGTGAGGATCCGCTTCCCCCCAGAGCCGCAGGGAACTCCTCCAGGTATTACGGAAGGGAGCTATGAAGGGACACCCTTTGGGAACCACTTTCCCGCTGTGCCACCTCCCTTCATCTTCCCTCTCCCACTCCGTTCCCATCGTCCCCCCGAATCCCAGCTCTCCCCATCTCGGTTCGGGGCTGACCCACCTCCTCTACCATCTTCTCCCTTCTTACCGTGTCCCGTCCTGTTCCTCCCAGAGACCCCTGCCCGCCGCTGATGGCGGCGCAAGGGAAGAGGAAGAGGAAGAGCAGGAGCCGGAAAAGGAGGAGAAACTGAGAGACGACGAGGAGGAGGGGTCTTCATTTTTATTCCTGCCTCGAGTTGTACCAGGGACAGGAGGTAGCTGTCTGATCTTCTGCAAAGGAGGAAAAGAAAAAGCAGCAGAAAGTGGGAGAGGAAGAAGAAGAGGAAATTCGCGTGTCCACCGCGCCCTGTGTCCGCAGCCCTCCCGGCCCGTGGAGCATCTCCCCCGCCGCATCCCGCAGGTGACCGGGGAGGGAGGGGGAACCTACCTCGGATATCTGGGGCGTCCCCGGGAGGTGTTTTGTTCCACGGGGGATCCCGGCCGTGCCCAGGGGAGGATGCGGGGTCTCGCACGCCAGCTGGAGATCGCCTGGCGGGGGCAGGGGATACCGGTTCTGGCTGTCCCTGGAGTGGGACACCGGAGAGGGGCGATAGGTGTTTGGAATAGCCCCGGAAGACTAGAAAGGAGGAAGCACAGAGTTAACGGGGAGGGCAGGATTCCGTCGACCCTGAAACGGGGGACTGGGAGGGGGGACGTCCCCGGTATCGTGGAGTGGGGCAAGCCTGAAGAGTGGGAACCCTGGGACCCCCCAGCAGCCGAAACAGAGACTCAGAGGAGAAGGGACCCCTAGGACCGCTAAAACTTCCAGCAACCCTAAGCAGGACCCAGGAGAGGGAAGACCTCCAGGACCCCGAAATGGAGAGACCAGAGACGGGGGTATCTTGGAGGACTCTTGTGCTGAATCTTAATATTTTGGAGGGGGTTTTTTTTCCTGCATAATGGTGTTTCAGAGGTTTTCATGGACACAAGATACCTGGTGACTTCTAGCGATGGACTTGGGCAGGAGGAACCTCCAGCTCAGCACACTCACACATTGTTTTCCCCCAAAACCAGGATTTGTCATTCCTAAGGATTGGCTGAATGGAGGAGGAGGCTGCAAGGAAGAGGAAGATGCTCCAGGACACCCAGGCAGGTAGGGAGGAAGTAACTTCCCCTTTCGCCCTCATTTCTGCTCCATCTTCCACCCGAGCATGGCCCCCAGCTGCAGGACAACCCCTGCTGCTAACACCATCCTGCCAGGAATGGATGGGGGGATCTCCTTCCCCTTCCCTGGCACGGAGGCAAATCCCATCCTCTCTTTGTCCTTCCTCCCCCAGGCACTGAGCTGAAGGCAGAGATCAAGGAGGAGAAATCCCCCTGGCAGAACATTGCAGATGAGGCTGTTTTGAGTCCCTCCACAGCACAGGAAGCCAATGAGGAAGAGAAGCCCCAGAGATCCCGCACAAGGAGGGGCTGCAAACCCAGCCCAGGGTGCTCCAAGGAGGAAAGAGACCCCCTGTGCCAGGAAGGTGGCCAGAGCTTCACCTGGAGCTCAGAGCTGGTGAAGAAGCCTCACGTGGGGGAGAAGTCCCACATATGCTTGGAATGTGGGAAGAGCTTTGGCCGGAGCTCCCACCTCCTCCGCCACCAGATGATCCACACGGGGGAACGCCCCTTTGAATGCTTGGAATGTGGGAAGAGCTTCGGCCGGAGCTCCTGTCTGATCCGCCATCAGGTAATTCACACAGGGGAACGGCCCTACAACTGCAAGGAATGTGGGAAAAGCTTCAATGACCGCTCCAACCTCCTCACCCACCAGCGCCTGCACTCCAGGGAACGGCCCTTTGAGTGTTGGGAGTGTGGGAAGAGCTTCAGCACCAGGTCTGACCTGATTCAGCATCAGAAGATCCACAGTGGAGAACGGCCCTATGAGTGTCCTGAGTGTGCAAAGAGATTTCGGACCAGCTCCCATCTCCTTCTGCATCAGCGCATTCACACGGATGAGAGGCCCTTCCGCTGCCCCAACTGTGGGAAGGGCTTCAAACGTAACTCCCACCTCACCCTGCACCGGCGCATCCACACCAGGGAGAGGCCCTACGAGTGTCCTGAGTGTGGGAAGAGCTTCTCCAGCAGCTCTGGCTTGACCCAACACCAGCAGTCCCACTTATAAGGGAAGCCCTGCTGTGGACGCCCAGGGGCCCACCATTGGAGCTGTAATACCTCAGCCCTGGAAGGGCAAAGGTGACGAGGGTCAAAGAGAGACTCCCTCTGAATACAATGGTCTCACCTATAGGCATTTCCAGTCTCATGTTAATGCAACAGGCTTTATTGGTATCAGCTAGTTCAACTGCCCTTTTTTCTTTTTAGGTACTGCCCCTAGAATGTTCTCCCCTCTCTTGTCCCCTGTTGGTCCCGGTTTACTGTGGTGATCTGCTCCTGGTTACCTCATTGGTTCCCAGTTTGCTGCCGCTCCTCTGCGCCACTTGTACTCAGTTCGCATTGGCCCTTGAGCCTTGGATCTGCCTCTTTTTCCCCCCCCATATGAAACCCTGTCCTCAGCCATCTGTCCTTGGACCCTCTTCATAGCAATAAACTAGGTTTGGAGCTCCACACAAAGACTGTTCATTAGCAGTTTAAGCAAGCCTGCTCTGGGCTCTGGGAGTGCAGGTCGTTCACAGAGGCTCATTGTGGACGCCCCACAACACCCTGAGAATGCCCTGACTGTGAGAAGATCTTCATCTGCTGCTCCAACTTCATCACCCATCAGAGGACCCACATTGGATGATTCACAGTGACCGTCACTGGGCTGAGACCTGCTGATCCATATTCCAGGTGGCCTGTGTACTGGTTTGTGTGGCCAGGTTTTGGAACTAGGGGGCTACTAAGGTAGCTTTTATGAGAAGCTGCCAGGAATTTCCCCATGGCCAGCAAAGCCAGCACCAGCTTCTGGACAGACCCACAACTCACCAACACCAAGCCCATAGGAGATCGCAGTGACACCCCAGGGATAATGGATTCAAGAAGGAAAAAGTTCTTGTGCAGATGGAATCGGGTGCAGAGAGGAGTGGGAACATGTGAAAGGAACAGCTCTGCAGACACCCAGGGCAGTGCAGAAGGTGGGGTGGGAGCTGCTCCAGGTGCCGGAGCTGCCTGCAGCCCCTGGAGGAGCCTATGCTGGAACAGGGGGATGCCCGAAAAGAAGGATGTGAGCCCATGAGAAACCTGTGCTGGAGCAGCCTCCATGCAGGGCCCCATGGATCCCTGGGCAGAGGAGCCCACGCTGGAACAGCTTTGCTGGAAGGACCTGTGGGGACACACACTGGGGCTGGGGAAGGACTCCCAACTTCTGTCCCAGAGCAGCACCTCCCAGGAGGAGGAACAAGGTGCATTATCCTGCTCTGATTTGGTTGGTAATAAATTGAGGTCCTTTCCTCAGGAGGAGTCTGTTTTGCCTGTGACAGTGTTTGGGGAGCAATCCCTCCTGGTCCTTATCTCAATTCCTGGGCCTTTCCTTTTATATTCTCTCCCGTCCATGTGCAGAGGGCAGGGACAAAGCAGTTTTGGTGGCACATTGCATCCAGTCAGGGTCAGCCCACTAGAGGGGGTTGGTAGTGGCCTGTGAGGGTCCCCGGACATCCCCCCTCGAGCAGGGTGTCCCCCCTTGCTGCAGCCCAGTCCCTCAGGCAGCGCTCAGCTGAGCAGAGCACTTGGTGCTGGTGACTCGGCAGTGTCCAGGCAGACCCGCAGTGCTCAGCCTGGACTCCAGCTGTGACCTCCACCCTCAGCGCTCCCTGCCAGGGGAATTTGGGAAGGGAACATGTGGAGGGCGCCAGGGGGGGTCCCTTAACTGTCCCGGAGGGGGCAGCTGAGGCGGGGCCTGGCCCTGCCTGGGCACGGCTGTTGCCCCCCCACACTCTGAACTGCTCCGGACTGGTGCTGCCAGCGCAGCGCGGCTGCTTTGGGGCTGCTGCTCCCTGCCCGGCCCCGGCCATGGGGCGAGGGGCAGCAGCTGGGGCCCTACTGGTGGTGCTGGGAGCCCCCCCAGCTCTGGGTTGAGCAAGGAGGCAGGGGAGGGAACTGAAAGATGTTTGAGAGGACACCTAAGGGAAAGTGGGACAGTGGGAAAAGGGTTCCCAGTGGGGGACCCTTCGCGTCCCCTGTCACTTGATCTCTGGAGCGATTCCCTGGGGCTCTGAGGGGGGGATGAGATCCACACGGGGAGGGGCCCCAATCCCCTTGTCCATCCCTCAGGAGCAAATGGGGGACTTCCCTCACACAGCAGCTGGTGCTGCAGTGGCCATGTGGCAGACTGGAGGCTGGAAAGGGGGGTCCAGAGTGGCCCCCTGAGCTTCCGACCTGATGTAGGGTGGTGGGGGTAGGGGGGTGCATCCCCTTGCCCACACAGTGGTGTTCCTGGGAAAAGCCCATGTGGGAATCCATAAAAACCAGAGGGTTTTGGGAAGGTGGTAAAAAAGACAGGCCTCAGATGCAGCAGGAATTGTGAAGTGCTAACACAGCAGAAAAAGATAACTAAGCGGTAGAGAAGACGTGAGAAATAGAAAAATAGAGCTGTGTAGTTTGGCTTTCTAAGTTGCAACAAGTTTATTTAGTATATATCTAGAAGGTTATGCTTATGAATAGAGCTTTATTCGTTGTCTCTTATAAACAAGCCATTGTGTTTGAGAATAGGCCACTATTGTTTTAACCAAAGCTACGTGTGCTTAAGGTGATTGGATAGAACTACTGTCAGTATGCTTTTGCTCTATGTAATTGGCTAAGACGGCTTTATGGTATGTTGTAACATTAAGTTTCTGTGGTTTTCCTGCCGGACCAGCAAGCTGTTAGCATCTCTCCTCTCCATTGTCATAACCATGTAATGAGACTGATGATGAAAATAAATAGCTCACGACGCTGATCCCAGTGGCCCCGTCCCATTTGTGTCTGAATATAAACTGCCGGCGTCAGCCCAGAGTCACTTCCTGAACGGCCTTGAGTGGGTGAGGTTCATGGACAAGAATATCTATAACCTAAAGCAGCTCCAGCACTTCAACAGTGATTTGGGCACTTTGAGGGGATACCCCATATGGGAACACCCAGGCCCAGTACTGGAACACCCAACTGGAATTACTGGAGAAGAGATGGGCTCAGGTACTGCAGTACAGGGACACATACTGTTGGCACACCCCAATCACCTGGCATGAGCAGCCGTATTTTTGAGGAAAACAGCCCCAAATCTCCATAAAAATCCCCAAATCCTCCTGATTATCCCCCTAAATCTGAAATTCTCCTTGAAATCAAACTGAAATAGTTGGGGTTTGAAGATCTTTGTTTAATTACTTTATTTTAGCCCCAATTTCATCTGTTTCTAAGAGATTAAAATGGCTCAAAAGAAAACGAAGGCCCAAATAGAAGGATTTACATGTTGATGTCATGTGAGTATCTCTGTAGCTGGGCTGTTTGGGTGGGAAGAGCCCTTTTTGGAGCCTTTGATTTGAATAATTTGGTCTTTGCACCAATCCATCACCACTTGTCTGTAGAAGATGTCTGTGGGCCATAGAGAATTAGAACAATTGAATTTAAAAGACCTCTTGGTTGCAAAAGACCTCAAACATCATCCAGTTTTGCTTGATGCCTCCTGAAGAAATGAGTGGTGGCTGCTGGTCAGATTTTTTGGGGTCTAAAGTCAACAAGACTGCTCTGCTCAATGAATTTCCAGCATTGGTCTGCATTCTAGTGGATGTTCCTTCCCCTGCATTCATCAGGATGCCTATGGGGAACAAGGAGGATGTGGACACCACTAGCCAGATGGCTTCCCAATGTGGATCACTTGGAACGTGGGTAAACAGGACTCTGCACAATGTGACTCAGCAGGAAAATTGGTCAATGTATCTTTATCCAGTCTAGACCACTGGGTCTCTGCCCAATGGGGGTCACTGTGGATCATCCAATATTTTTCCTCTGATGGGTCATAAAGTTGGACAAAGCTCTTCCCGCAGTCAGAGCATTTGCAGAGCTTCCCTTACACATGGGACCACTGGTGTGAGGTCAAGGCATCACTCTGGGTGATGAGATGGGAGTTCTAGTTGAAGCTTTTCCCACTTGGGACACTCACAGGGCCATTCCCCAGTATGGACCTTCTGGTGGCAGAGGAGGTGAGAGCGGTCACTGAAGCTCTTCCCACATTCCAAACACCTATAAAGCCATTTCCCTATGTGGATCTTCTGGTGGCAGATCAGCGTGGAGCTCTGAGTGAAGCTCTTCCCACATTCCTCACACTCATAGGGCCATTTCCCCGTGTGCACCCACTGGTGGATGAGGAGGAGGGTTTCTCTTTGGTGTGAATATGCTGCTGGACCCCCAGGTCAGAGCTCTGGCTGAAGTTCTGGCTGCCTTCCAAGCACAGGGTGGGTCTCTCCTCCTCAGAGCACCCTAGGCTGGGTTTGCAGCCCCCTCCTCGTGTGGGATCTCTGGGGCTTTTCCTCTCTGTTGGATTCTTGCACTGTGGAGCTGCTCAAAACAGCCTCTTCCACGAGGTTTTATGGCAGGGCTTTGTTCTCCCTGGTCTCTGTCCACAGCTCAGTGCCTGGGGAGGAAGGACAAGGAGAGGATGGTGTTTTCCTCTGTGGCAGAGGGAAGGGGAAGGAGATCCCTCAATCCGTCCCCAACAGGACAGCATCGGCAGCAGGGTTGTCCTGCAGCCCAGGGCAATTTTCAGCTAAAAGACAGAGCAGGGGAAAGGGGCAGTGACTTCCTCCTGACCTGCCTGGGTGTCCTGGGGCATCTTCCTTAATCACAGTCAGGCTCACTGCAACCCGGAGTCCAGTCCAGCTGGGGGCAATGTGGCAAAATTGAGGGATGGAACGATGGATTTGCCTTAAAAATAGAGAACTTTAACAACAAAATAACAAACACAGAAACCACAGAATCTGAGGAGTAAGATCCAGTGACGGGGGAGTGTGGTGAACATAACAATATATAGGGATATTCTGAGGGCAGGGGTCCAATCAGCAGCACAAACTCGGAAAATGACCTTATATGTGGCAGGTCCTGAACAAACTGAGAACAAGAACAAGAACAAGAACATGACTTAATATAGAATAGTTCTATTAACATACCATCAACATACTAAGTCCCGTGACCACACTCTTCTCACCATG